GTGTGGGTTGCCTGGGTGCATGGCAGGTGGGGGACGTGTCAGCAGCAGAGGTGGAGCGGCTAGCAACCACGTACTTCGCACCCTGGCAACCCATCACCTCTCCCTCAGAACCCATCCTAGCCCTCCCCTTCTCCCTCGCCTCCTCCTCCTCTCCTCTCCTCCTCGCCTCGGCTTTCCCACTCCCTCTCTCCTCCTCCCCTACTCTCTCCTCCACCCCTCCTTCTCTCAACCCCATCACCTCCTCCTCCTCTTCCGCCTCTCGCGCCTGGCGATCAGGGAGCAGGGAGGAGGGGTGGGAGGCGGCGAGAATGGCAGCAGCTGCTGTGGGGGAGGAGAGGGAGATGAGAATGAGTGTGGGTGCTAACCCGCTGTACATTGAAGGTAAGACACTCCGAGGGGTGGGAGGCGGCGAGAATGGCAGCAGCTGCTGTGGGGGAGGAGAGGGAGATGAGAATGAGCATGGGTGCTAACCCGCTGTATTTCCAAGGTGAAACACCCTCTCAGTGCTACTAACCCGCCAGTACTTTGAAGGTAAAACACCCTGGGTGTGCGGAAATTTGTTTTTTCCGCTCTTTCTTCATCCAATCCAATGTGGTATGTTGCTACCAGTGGCAATGAGACATTTCCTGTTACAGTGGCAAGATCTCCTTTTCTTTTGTGAGCTTCCCTTATCAGTCCTCCTCTTCTCCATCCTCTCCCACTGGGCGCCACCCTCTCTTTTCCTCCCTCGCGGCATGGAATCATCCTCGACGCAACTGCATGTGCATGTGCATGCAGGTTATTTCCGTCCCTCCTCGTCCTCGGTGGACGATCCAGTCATCTCTGTAATCAGCTCTCTGCTCTACGGCTCTCGCTCCTCCCGCCTCTACAAAGTGAGATCCATCCTTCCGTTACCTTCACTCGCTCTCTCGCTCCCTAGTTTGTTTGTTGCCTTTTTTTTCTCGTTCATTTGATGTTTCGTTTGTCTGAACAATCTTTTCCCTGTGCCAACAACTCTGTCTTTGCCCCATTTCTCCCTTTCATCTCTCCTCACTCCCTTCTCAACCATCCCCTCTCACCTCTCCTCTCCTCTCCTCTCGCCCCTCCTCCTTCCTCCTCCTCACCTTTCAGAACCTAGTGCTGCCAGGCAAGGCCCTCTCAGCCAGCGCTACAGAGACCTACCCCGGGGATAAGCGCCCCAGTCTCTTCCTTCTCTCAGCCTTCCCTCCTCTCGGTAACACCCCGTTTTTCAACTCACATGATACCATGCCTCTCTGCTCACATGATACCATGCCCCTGCCCCTTTACCCACATGACACCATGCGAAACCCCTCTGGACACATGATGCCATACCACGCCCTTCTTTTGAGTCGACTCAAAAGTCACCTCGAAACCCCTCAGGTCTGGACACATGATACCATACCAGGCCCTTCTTCGCACATGCACTACCCATCCGCGTGCATTGAGTTGAGTTTTGAGGAGCCTCAAAACTCAACCCCTCTGGTCTGGACGCATGATACATGATACCATACCACGCTCTTCTTCGCACATGCACTACCCATCCCATGCTGCGCCCCTCTGTGCAGTTAATATCATACCATGTTAATGTCATGCCATGCACCTGTGTATGTACCGGGCTCCCATGTGCCCCACTCTACACTGCATGTCATTACCCCACTCTACAGCACATGGCCGACACACGCGCCTGAGAGCGACCTCACACTTACTTTGCTCTCGTCCTTCTCCCCACTCTCCCAATTATCCCACAGGCGGCACCACAGATGCAGTGGCAGCAGCGCTACAGGAGCAGCTGCAGCACATGGCCGACACACGCGTGCCTGAGAGCGACCTTGCTCGCGTGCGCAAGTCTCTCCGAGTTGGCTTCCTTGTGAGTCTGCCCTGTTTGTCTCTCTTATGATGCTCAAAAGACTTTGTGAGTTGACTCTATACACATGGCCGACACACGCGTGCCTGAGAGCGACCTTGCTCGTGTTCGCAAGTCTCTCCGTGTCAGCTTTCTTGTGAGTCTGCCTCTGTTGCCCTCTGCCCTCCGCCATTGCCTCTGCCCAGTTGCCCTTTGCCCTCCTTCATTGCCTCTTGTGAGCCGGCTTTTTCCTTGTCAGATATGAGATGCTTCAAAGAGAATCCTCAGCAGTGCTACAGCTCAACTCGCTCGAGTGTCTTCCTTGAGCAAACGGGAGACACTCGGGAGGGGCTCGCGGCTCCTCATTGAACGCTCGAGTGTCCCCCTTGCCATTCGCCCCATCAAGCAGCCCTTCTTTCCTCCCTCTCCTCACAGGAGCCCCTGGGCAGCAATGCCGGGCTGGTGTGGGTACTCTATGGGTATTCATCCCCCCGCATGCCAATGGGAGGCACTGGTGGAGGAAGTGCAGAGCGTCAAGCAGCTCACTCCCACATGGGACCTGCTATCATTTCCCCCCTGCCGACTCTCACTCCCACATGGGACCTGCTATCATTTCCCCCCTGCCGACTCTCACTCCCATCACCTCAAGCATGTCTCTCTGTGATCCTTTCTCTCCTCCCCTCTCTCTTTTCCTCTCTACCCCTCTCTCTCATTACAGGAGCTCCTAGGCAGCAATTCCGGCCTGGCGAGTGTCCTCTGCGAATATTCCACCCGGGCGGGCAGGTGGGTGGGGCTGGTGGAGGAGGTGCAGAGCATTGAGGAGGTCACTCCCCGGGACGTGCTACGTCCCCCCCCCCCTACCGACCCAAGCATGTCTCATTTCTTCCGTATCCTTCTACCCTCTCTCTCTGTGCCCCTCGCCCTTTCTTTTGCCTCATGTACCAGGAGCTCCTAGGCAGCAATTCCGGGCTGGCGAGGGTCCTGTGTGAGTATTCAACGCGGGCGGGCAGATGGGAGGCACTGGTGGAGGAGGTGCAGACGATCGAGGAGGTCACTCCCAGGGACGTGCAGCAGGTGGCTCGTTTGTTGTTCTCTCCCGATATGCGCATCACAGCACTTGCTGTTAATGCTTAGAGCGCAAGGGAGCACTGAGCGTGATGTTCTAGGGGCAGTTGGAAATGCAGTTGGAGGAGAGGAGGTGCAGAGCATCGAGGAGGTTACTCCCAGGGACGTGCAGCAGGTGGCTGGTTTGTTGTTCTCTCCTGATATGCGGATCACATCGCATGCTGTCAATGCTTAGTTTCTGGGTGACAAACGAGGTACAGAGCATTGAGGAGTTCACTCCCCAGGACGTGCAGCAACTGGCTCGTTTGTTCTCTCCCGATATGCGCATCACAGTTCATGCTGTCAATGCATAATGCGTAGGTTTGATGATGCAAGTGTGAGCCCCACTTATTCATTATTTGAGGTGTAGCAGGTCATTCCTTATTGTGGATGTGTAGAGTAGCAAATTAATTAATATTACCTAGCGTAAAATGCATTCGTTTTTTTTTTGTTTCCCTCGTCTAAGCATGCATGCTTCAGCTCTGTTTGAGATTCTACTTCTCCTGACCTCTAGTTTATTATCTTTATTTGAGACTCTTTGGCTTGTACCGTAGGGACTTTATCTTGCTTCAGTATGGGCGGTTCAGTCTGCACACATATCACTGTTGAAAATAATGATTTCCATGTTACTCTTGTTCCGCTGCATATGGTTACCGGATTGGGTCTTCAATTCGCGCACAGCTGCATACATTTTCAACAACTGAGGGCGATCATTCCCTATTAGTACTAGGCGAGTCGCAGCGCGGAATCCTGTTAGCATCTTACAATCTACTCATCCACAATTCGCCATGGCCGCCGCGAGTAGCTTCATTCGCCGAGGACGCCCCGCGCCGACGGGGATAGCGGCGGCCGGAAGAGCTGGTAGCGCGTTTCGTGCAGGAACAGCCACGGAAACCACAGGGAGCAGAGGTATCACGGAATCCACAGCAGGCGTCACAGAAGGCACGGCAGGAAGCAGAGCAGCGACGCTTGCGCTTCCCGGGACGAAATTCGCGGCTGGAGCCCGGCTGGTCACCTCGTCAGGCCTCGCTGGCCTCGATCATATCCGCCTCGCCCTCCCTACTGGCCCTTTTTTTTCTCAGCCTTGCGACCTTTCAGTCTTCCCGTCCGAGTCAGTGCGAGTGATATTTTATACTTCTAAAAGATCTTTCGTCAGGACTCGCTGGCCTCGATCATATCCCCCTCACACCCCCCCTCTACCTCTCGACCTTTCTGGGTGTTCTCTAGAGTGGCCCTGGAATTTACAAGCTGGATTGTTACCTTTTCCGCCTTTTGCACGTTTTCTCTCTCCCTATGCACCTCTCCTCTCCTCCCATGCAGTTCTTCTCTCTTCCCAAGCACCATTGTCCAACCAACCTGCTGTGCCTTCCTTAACCGGTCCATGCTCCCCTCTTCCCCCAAACTGCCCCGCTTCTCCTTTCTCCGCTTCTCCTTTCTCCGCTTCTCCTTCTCTCCCCATCACCCCCTTCTCCGTCCCTTCATGTTCCCCCGTCTCTCCCTCCTCTTCCCCCTCACCCTTTCCTCTCAATCCATTTAACCACAAGCCCTAGGAGGGGGCTATCCAGTGGGGGGAATCGTCCTATTACTCGAAGACCCTCTCTCACCTCTACACCTCATCCTCCTCCGCTACTTTCTCTCTCAAGGCCTCTCCCACTCCCACCCACTCCTCCTCCTCTCGCCCCTCCCCGATCCCCAAGCCTTTCTCGCTACGCTCCCCGCGCCAGCCGAGGGAAAGGCAGGTTCGGGAGCGCACGCAGGTCCGGGCGGCCGGGCAGGTCCGGGAGGGCTTTCCGATCCTCATGGCCTGGGTCGGCCGCAGGAGGAGAGAAGATCAGGGGGGGGCGGAGGGGGAGAAAGTGTGGGGGAGGGGGGAAAGGGGGGTGATGGGTTGAGAATAGCATGGCAGTATAAGCACTTGGCTCCCCAGTTTACCGGAGTGGGATTAGGAGGGCCGGTAGGTGCGTCTGTACCGTACTGCACCGAGTTTGACCTCCGCGCACCGCTGTCCCGGCCGATGCTAAGGCATGCGCAGCAGCTGTGCACGTGTGTACCCATGGGGGTAGATGCGGTGATGATGACAGGGACAGATGGCAACTGCTCTCAGCAGGCGCAGCAGCAACACCAGCAGCAGCAGCAGCAGCAGCAGCATCAGGGGGAAGAGGAGGGCTCGGGACTAGCGTCAGATTTCACACAAGGCTTCTTTGGCCGTGTGTCAGGCTTCCTCTCCTTCATTGACTCCCCCCCACCTGGGGGGTCTACAGGAATTGGGGAACGAGGCATGGAAGGGAGAGGAGGAGGAAGCGGAGGTGGCGGGCGAGAGGGAGAAGGGGGGGGAAAGGTGGGTCGCATCGGCGTGCATTCTCTGGGAGCTCCTCCCGCGTTGCTGCTGACAGGGAATGATGCCCAGGTGAGTCCAGAAATGGAATCGAGACGGGGATATTCAATCAAAGTGGGAGCTGAACAAGAACGGTTGAATGAATCATTTACCTATTTACCTGTAACAAAATTTATTGTTCCGTGAAATTTCCTGCTTCGTTCTTGAATTTCTCCGTTTCCAACCCTGCAGGCCTGGCAGGTACTTGCGTGGCTGCAGTGGTTGAAAGGCTGTGTCCGCACTTTACCAGTGACGGTCCTTGTAACAGTGCCTAGAGATGAAGGGATCGTTCCTCCACATGTGCTGCTGAGGCTGCAGCATGCAGCAGACGTGGTACTGGCGATGGAAGCACTGGAAGGTGGGTGGTAGCTGGTGAATGCATTATGAAGTGTGCATGTGTAGTGCGTTTTTTCAAATGTTTTGCTGAGACTGCAGCATGTAGCAGACGTGGTGTTGGCGATGGAGGCTCTGGAAGGTAGGGGGGAGCCTGGTGACTGTGTGCATGCATAGAGTGCGCATTCGTAGTGTGTGCTTCTCTCAAACGTGCTGCTGAGACTGAGCCTGCAGCATGCAGCAGACGTGGTGCTGGCAATGGAAGCACTGGAAGGTAGGTGGTATCTGGTGAATGGGGTGCAGTGTGCGCAGGCATGCATGTGTACATTGGTAGTGCTTTGAATGTGCTGCTGAGACTGAGGCTGCAGCATGCATCAGACATGGTGCTGGCGATGGAGGCTCTGGAAGGTATGGCCAATCTCATTACCTCTCATACATTCCACACTGTGTGCATGTGTGCATGTGTGCATGTGTGCATGCACTTTCTCGTGTGCTTGTTTCCACAACTGCATGCCAATTCTTCACGATTTTTACTAAATCTTGGTGTGATTGGCTGGTGCTGTGCTACAGAGGACAATGCCGAGCTGGCCAGTGGGATCTCGGACTACAAGGACGCTCTGGGTCTCATTCGCGTCCGCAAGGTTTCCGTGCAGAACTCCCTGGTAAGCCCTCTGGCACTTAATCTGATTCTTAATATGGTATTCAATCATATCAGGGCCGTTAACCAGGGAACGTTGCAGCAGGGGCGTTATGTGACCTGCATGGCAACAGTGAGTTAGTGACCATGTCAATACCCAGGTACGCTAGACTCAAAGCAGGAAAACGACAATCAGTTGTTTATTGATGAATTCTGCAGGTGCCTCGTTTGCCAGCTCATTGATGCCACTGGCTCTCAATCCGTTTCTTGCTCCTCACGTCCTCTTCCCCTGTCAGGTGCCTCGCATGCCGGCAGTGACCACTCTGGTGCTGAGAGCAGTGAACAGGAAGCGACAGATAGTGGTGGAGGAGGCACACCCACCCCCGATCGATGCCACAGGGGGAGCAGCAGGTTCAAGCGGCGGGGGAGGCTCGGTTGGATGTGGTAGTTCAGGCGGGGGAAGCAATGCTCTGGATTTCTGAGTCGACCCAATAAGTGACTTAGGAGTTGACTGAAAAGCCACATGGGGAACAGGCTCAGGCAGTGGGGTAGGCTCGGTTGGACGTGGTAGCTCAGGGGTGGGGGGGAGGGGAGGGGATCAACGCTTTGGTTTTCTGAAACGTTAGACGGTTTGGTCATAAGCTTCTAGTTTTGGAACCCTTATCTATCAAGCAGAGTTGCAGAGGTGCAGAGTTACCCTTATCTAGTTTTTAGTCCATGAAGCAGACTGGATTAGAGCGAAAATTCAACAAGGCAAAGGTCAGTGTACTATGAAAAGAGGTACGGTACGTCAACAGCATTTGTTGTACCGTGCAGAAGATTAGATGTCATTTTTGTTGACCAGGAGCGGTACATGACTCCGTTTTCTGCGCTTGACACATCACTCCCTTCGGTTCGGCGTCAGCCTTGGCTTTAGCTGCGTTGTATTTCTCAAGCTCCTCGTAATACGTCTCCCACACGCACGGGCTGCAACCGCTACCGCAGCAGTCACTTGGAAGCGGCTTCTCTGGCGGCTCAAGGTTCGGCTGGTTCATTCTTGCGATGGCAACGGTCGAAAATGAGTCTGCCAGCAAAAACCGGCTTCTTTGTGTTTTCAAGCGTAACAAGCAAGGCTTGATGCTGTTGATCATAGAGAGATGCAGCAAGCTGCGCACGGCGATTCACGCGATACCAGATTCACGACTGGAGACGCATAACTGGCGAACAAGCTAACGACGAGGATTAGAGACGAAACACACATACCTCGTAGTGGCGTGTATGCCTCAAATACAGGAAACTAGGAGTATTCTATGTTTGAACCAGGGTCTGTTTACAACGACAGGGTCTCCAGGAATTATGTCTTGCTAGAACCTCTGTATTCTTTACATCCGATTCCAGTAGCAATCTAGGGGTAACTTCACCTCTATTGTGTCCTCGTCATGGATCGCTTCACTATCAGCTTATGATCACAAACTGTATGAAAATATATTGCTTTTGTCTTCATCTTACTGATAAACCGGGGGACCTTAAATGGAGGACTATCAGCTTACGTGGTCGATCTCCATTTGTTCATAAAGTGCGAAGCACACAAATACTGCGACAATGACAATGACTCCATGGCCATGGCGGAGAGCTTTAACTCGACCAATGTGTAACAATTTCTTGACATTTCAAGGATTAGAAGCTTCTAGGCGATGCACGGCTTTAAGCTCTTTACAACGGTGCTTTTATAGTGTTCATTACGGGAACCTAGACACCTGTTTTTTGAGTTCCAGGCTATCGTCAGAGCTACACCTAACCTTAACTCAAGAGGTTTCATGCTTTCATCAACAGAGTTATCAGCAGCTCCATGGATCCTTCCGCGGTGCACAGTCATCTCTGGCTGCTGCGCGCGTCAACACCAGGGGTTTCAAGCATCAAGTTTCCCAGGTCTCTTTGGAAAGCAACTACCAGGGCAGGGAACCATTCTCTAAGGCGCCTTGCACAACCTCTGGTCTGGATCTGCAACGGTTTGCCTTCAAGCACAGGAGATATAAATCGCTGGTTTCCACTCAGTATGTGCTCAGAACAGCTTGTTTTTCAGCCATTTCTCGGCTGTTAAGCATATCTCATCATCGCATCATGGCGAAGGGACGCAACAGCAGGAATGGCAAGAAAAGCGTGGACAATGCGCAGGCTAAGGGAGTGTCGGACGTACCTGACGTACCTGTGGAGGGTCCCGTCGGTGGTGAGAAATCGCCTGCAAGCTCGGCGTCGGACACGGTTTTGGGTCCTTTCGAAGCTCTCCTGGATCTGCCGATTGGTGCTGAGCAAGCTGCTGGATCAAGCCAGAAAGAGTCGGATGGGAAGGAAGAATCTGCTGCTCATCTGCAAGACCCTGATGCGGAGGGGGGATCAAAGGATGAGGATGCTGCCGGTGACATTGACAACAACGGTGATGACTTGCAGCAATCTGAATCCCCTGGGGATGAGGATGATGGTTACCTGAGTGATGACTCTGACGAACATCTGGAGCCGGATTCGCTTAACAGTGTCATTGCTCTTAAGCGATTCTCACTAACCTTACTGGTGCCGATTCTCAGGAGTGTTGAAGTCAAGCGTGCTGCAGTGACAGTAGCTGCGATGCTGGATGAATGGAAGGAGCTGCTATCGTCAGAAGTGCTGCAGACTACGACGTACCAAGATCTAACGGCGGTGTACTTCTCTGGTGCACGCTACGGACGGCTGCAAGTCACTTTCAACAATGTCCGGGACGCAAATTTTGTCTGGAATCAAGTCATTCGCCATGAGTGCGTAAACGGAGACTTCATTGATCTCGCCTGGCAGCATCCGGAGGACGCGCGTTTTCTCCGTGAGCGTGTGCTGAACCCCATGGCTAAGGAGATTGTGGTTAAAAATGTACCGGCGGACTTAACAGCGGAGTTGATTCGTCGGCTGTTGGTGGTGTCGAAGCTGGTCAAGAGAGGAAGGAGTGCGTTCGTCAGCGGCTTTGGCTTCCATCGGGTGGTTGACCCAGTGACTGGGCTGGATACTGATCGCATCCGTGGTCTGATTATCCCGCACGCTGGTGATGAGTATCGGTGGAGGTATTTTGTGGAAGACCCTACCACAGGGAAGCGTTACCTGCTGCACTACCCGTCGCTGACCTGTGACCTTTGTGGGGGTCAGCATCTGTCGTGGTACCACGATCGTTACGTCACACCGAGGCAGGAGAACTTCAGCAACTGGAACCTGTCTGTTAAGAAGGTTCACGAGATGAACGGTATAAGCAGTGGGGAGCCTTGCCCGCTGTCGGTGTGCTCCTTGCCTCTTGTTCTTACCCTCTCCCACGATACTGACGGATCTCTATCTTTCCCTCCTCGCAGCTGCTTCCTTGATAGCTTCAGACCTCCTGAAACGCATCATGAGGGACCCGGCAGTTATCCTTTCTTCTACCGGGGGTGCGCGGGAGGAGTGGATCTGTGTTCAGGCATCATGCGAGAAGGCACAGGGAAACCGCTTCGAACAAGCATCTGCGCACATCGCATCAGCTCGGCACAAAGGGGGGCTCAAGAAGGAGGGATCGGCAACGCGTGTCAGTGTGTCTTCTCAGAAGATGATTGCGTTCAAGAGGGAGTACGTTGCAAAATCGGCGAAGTGAGGAACAACTGCAGCACGGGGGGGATTGCTTCACAGCAACATGGTCGCGTTTTCCGCCGTAACACCCAGGAGGGAACTTCTCGAATAATCTGCCCAGGGAGGCTGAAGGCAGTGGAAACATGGGAGGATCAGAGGGAGAAGGTGACTCAGGAGCTTCATGCAGTAGCAGTAGGTGGAACAGTAGTTTGCATCTCGCTAGCATCAGCAGTAATCTGTGGTGTCATCTTGGCAGTAAGAATCTTTAACCGTTGGAGGCTGTTGACAGCAGCGAAGCGTGACGCAACACAACTTTCAGACCCGTGGATGAAGAGGGGTCTTAATCAGTGGTCAAATGGATAAAAACCATGAACTTACCATCGGCGCGCTCAATGTCAATGGATTGGGCCGCGCGGAGAAGCAAGAGGGTTTGCAGGAGTGGCTTAACAAGTCAAGGGGAATCGTAATACTTACAGACACAAGGTTGCAGGAAGACCACAACTTCTGGACTCAAACAGGATCGGAGGCGAGGGCAGTGGTCTCGTCTGCTGACACGGCAGGAGGGGTGGCAGTGTTGAGCTTTAACAAAGAGGTTGTTTTCAGTGATACCCGTGTACATGAGTCGGGAAGACTGGTAGCGGTTTCTGTTCGTTGGAGGGAGCTGGCATGGACGCTATCAAGGCAGTAGCCCGTTCGGGAAGCAAAAAGGCTCGGAATGTCTGAAGGGGATGACAGTAGGGGACGTACTTCAGGAGGAGTATAACGGTAGTCGGGTGGTGAAAGATTTATGGGCGTTAACTAAGCAGACAGGGAGATCGTCCACGGCGAGGTGGGCGCTTCTGGCCTGGAAGGCAGTCCCGGAAAGCTGGAAAAACAAACTACTCGGGAAGGTGTCGGCGGAGGAAATTGCTGAAACGACTACCCTGGTCAAGGTTGGAAGGGAGACAGGGGGGAGGCAGTGTTACTGGCAAGTGGCGCTGGCGGGGGACAATGAGTTGAAGTGTGAGAGAGTGGAGGTGGACAGTAAAGGGAAAATCAAGCAGTTAGGTGTTGAAGTACAGCCGCCGGAGAGGCTGAGTATGTTAACCCCGATGGTGGCTAAAGGAGGGTATGTGGTGGGGTGTGTAGGTGATTCACTGACGCGACTAAGGACGTCATTTCTGTGCGAGGAAGGGAAACCTAAGGCGCAGAGGAAGCTAAGACATCTGCTCAAGAAACCGGCGCAGCAGCCTAAGCAGCAGAAGAAGTGGGAGGAGAACTGGGGAGGGAAGATTGACTGGGGAAAGGCCATCGCGAAAAGAGACTCGCTGGTGATCCCAGCCAAAGCAAGAGAGGTACTGTTGAGGCTTCACAGTTACAATTTGCAAGTGGGCAGCAGGCTGGCTTTCTTCGGTTCCCGTGCATGCTGCCCATACTGCAAGCAGGAGGAGACGCCAACGCATTGTCTGATGAGCTGCCCGGTGGTTATGGGAATATGTGGCGCGCTTCAGGACTCGCTTCGTCTGATTAACCCAACCAGAGCGGTTGGAACACTGGGAGAGTTGCTATTCGCTGAAGACAGCACATCATCCGGATTTCCGGAATCCACGCTCGTTGCGATCACGTTCAGACACATTTGGCTGGAAAGATGTGACGCGGTCTTCCGACAGAAAACTTTTGAACCCAGACGGGTGGCCAGGAAGATTGGGGCCAATTTCAGGAGGCATGTGCGGATCTACAGTGAGGGGAGCGGCGGAAAAAAGGGACACATGGGGGGGGGAGTTGGAGGAGGACAACACCTGTCAGCTGGAGAGGCGGCAGCGCTGAGCCGCATCTGTGAGCAGGACGAATGTCTGACGTGGAACAAAGCATTCAGCTCGATATGGGAGAGGCCTAGTACCTTTTTTAAGCCTCCGTAAAGGGTCAATAGGGAGGACAGTGCAAACCGTATCAGAGTGGCATGTGTCTTCCTCTTTTCTCAGTTACGACTGTGGATGTGATGCATTGTATAGTGTATTATGTCCCAAAAAAAAAAAAAAAAAAAAAAAAATGCGAAGCACATTGGATGAGCACACTGGATTCGTTTCGCCGACCAGTAAGTCTCCTTCCTCTCTCCACCGCTGGACTTTCGCTGACTCGTAAATGTTTGTTACTGTTCGTCCGACCATCAATCTTTCGTGAACAGTGAACTTTCGTGGACGACCTCCCCACCCCACAACACTCAAACTCTGGCAATGAAGATCGCGGTTTGGGTGAACGCTTTGCGGGGCAAAATGGTTCGCTCTTGTTCTACATCGGTTAAATAGGGTTCTGAGAGAGATTGCACGGTTGTGACTTTTCCTGATTGCCGCACCGCGCCAGCAAAGTCAGCGCCTCACCACTGCCTTCCTGTAATTACTCGCAAATAGGGACGTCCTGCAAAGGAGAGCGGTCAGAACCCGTTTATCCAGCAATACTCTTCCTCCCGTAGCACAGAAGTGCGCTCAGTATAGTACAAAGCAGTGTGTTCCGTAACCGACGCGGCAGCCGAAAATACGCTGATCGCGGAGCACCGCTGTTAACCTGATCAACTTCTTAAAACCACATTAGGCGTATTACGCATAGCAGCCAGAACGACGGCGAAACCACCGTACCGCTGCTTGCAGCTCCCCGCTAGGTAGCCAAGGAATGAAAGCAGGCGAGAACGACGCCGCCGCCTCTGCTGTCACGCGCGGGACTGTCGCCCGCGCCGGTGGCGGGGGGGGCGGCCCTGGTGCCGGAATCGGCGGGCCTGGCTGCGGCGGAAGGTCCGGGCGGCGGTGGACGGCGATGGTGAGGATCCACGGCGCGTGCATTGCGGCGAACGACCCATTCGCGGGGGACCATGGGCGCTCGCCTGGCGGAAATGCACCGACTTGCGGAGATGCGGCTGGCGGAAACGACACGACAGGCGGAAGCGGGGAGGCGGACGGGGGAATGCGCCTCGCGCCGTACTGCCCGCTGAGATCGTCCCCCGGGTTCGCTTGGTCCGCGCTCACGCACCCGTTCCGCAGGGCGGAGGCGGAGGCGGAGCAGGTGCAGGCGCAGGGGCAGGCGGAGGCAAATTCGCAGGCGCAGACACAGGCGCAGGAGCAGGAGCAGGCGCAGGGGAAGGTGCAGGAGCGGAGGCCGGGAGAAGGCAGTGAGGAGAGGGGAACGGAGGACGGGGAGGGGGAGAAGGCAGGAGAAGGGGCAGGGAGAAGGCGACGACCGGGCCGAGGCGGTGGTTTTCTGTGCTGCTTCGGAGGTGGTCCCGCTGAATCGAGGTGTGACAATGACGAGGGGGGGGTGAGTATAGCGAGGGAAACAGGAGGAGGAGAAGGAGGTGGAGGTGGAAGGGTGAGGGGGGACGAGGCAGGGCGGGGGATTGCTGCAGAGGCTTTGGTGGCTTGGCGCATGGATAGCGTTGCTGCTGCTGATAATGCTGCGTCTGCTACAGCTGGAGCATCAGTGGAAGGTTTGAAGATGGCACAGAAGCAGCAGGAACAGCAGGGGCAGCAGCAGCAGCAGCAGCAGCAGCAGGGGCAGCAGCAACAACAAGATCAGAAGCAGAAGGATGAGCAGCAAGACCAACGGCAGCGAGAGCAAGAAGAGGCGGTGGCAATGGCAGGGGAGGACCGCTCCCACGTGCTCGTCTCACCCTCACGGGGCTTTGTCTTTGCAGCGGTGTATGACGGCTTCGCAGAGCGGCACGCCGTGGATTACCTCCTCGCACACCTCTACACCGCACTGTGCCACCAGCTGGACGCGTGCGGCCTGCATACACTGCACCTGGACTCTCAAGAAAATTCTCTGCACCTGGACGGTTGTGGTGGCGGCGGCTTGCCCTCCGTGCCCTCCCAGGTGTGTCACAGAAACGGCCAGCATCTCACATGTGGTCTGCACTGTCAAGCATGCACGGAGAGTGGGAGGGGGCAAGACCACAACCACAGGGCATCTGGTGGTTTAGAAGGGACGTGTGAGTGCGGGTGTGAGTGTGAGAGTACAGGTGGGGGTGAGTTGAAAGGAAAGATGAGGTGGATGGTGCGTAAGATGGGCAGGGCGAGTAGGAAAGCGTTCCCGAGGGACCGAAGCCGCTCTGATTGGTCAGAAGCTTCGGAAGAGACGGAGGGATTGGAGCAGGAGGGTGCGTGTGAGGGAACGGGCGGGAATGAGTCGAAGGGTAAGCTAAGGTGGACGTTGGGTGAGGTGGGGAGGGCGAGCAGGAAAGCATTCCCAAGGGAGCGAAGCCGCTCTGATTGGTCGGAAGCTTCTGATAACCAGGATGACCAAGAAGCATTCCGTGGGGATAACCAGGATCACAGAATGGGCCAGGAGGGTGCATCTGAAAAGGCACAGGGGGTGCGGCAGGAGAGAGGGTCTGATGGCTCTCGGAATGGAAAGCTGAGGGGAGAGAAGGAGGGAGAAGGAAATGGAGAAGGAAATGGAGAAGGGAAGGAGGAAGGGAAGGGGATCAAACAAGTCGTGGGACATGGTCAGAAACAGTCGCAGCAGCAGCAGCAGCAGCAGCAGCAGCAGCAGCAGCAGCAGCAGCAGCAGCACCACCACCAAGAACAGCAGCAGCAGCAGCACCCTCTCCATGTGCCAAAGGCCTTGCAAGAGCCAGGTAACGACCACAGAAGACACCAAATGATCTTAGGCGCCTTAGAACGCGCCCTTGCCTCTACCGAGTCCTCCTTTCTGACGCGAGTTAAAGACGTCTCTAAAGACCAGCCGGAGTACGCGGTAGGAGGGGCGTCGCTAGTTGCTGCTATAGTCACAGCCACGGATGTTTATGTGATTAATTTGGGGGATAGTAGGGCGGTGATTGTAAGGGGTGAGGAGGTGGGGAGGGGGTGGGGGGGGTTGTTGAGGAAAGGGGGGGAAGGGAGTGGGAGGCATGTGAGGAGGGGGAGGGTGGAGAGAAGGAGGGGAAGTGGGGTATGGGGAAGTGGGGGAGTGGGGAGTGGGGGAGTGGAGAGTGGGGGATGGGGGAGTGGTGGGAGTGGGGGAGAGGGGAGTGGTAGCAGCAAAGGGAGTGGCAGAAGAGATAAAGCAGGAGAAACGGGGGAAATATGGGAGAACGGGGAGAAGGGGAAGAAGTGGGAGAGGGGTGATATTAGTGGGGCTGTTGGGGAAATGGAGAGTGTGGGAAGCAGGAATGCAGGAGGAGGGGAGAGGGGAGGAGGCAGAGGAGGGGGAGTGTGGAGGTGGAAGGCAGAGAGACTGACAGTGGATCACAACACGAGCAACGCTGCTGTGAGTCCTCTCTCTTCTTCTATCACTCTCCTCCCCTCCTCGCCTTTCTCCTTTCAAGAATAAGTGTGAGAGTGAGACCTACCTCTCTTCCCCCGAGTGACTCTCATGAAGTTCCGTTTTGAGTGGACTCACAGCAACATGATGAGTCAACTCAAAACACGACATCATGCAGTTCCCGACACTTCACGTCGCAATCGATGCTGCTGTGAAAGAGCATGTCGTGCACATCATTCACGTCGTGCACTTCCACTTTGGGCCACAACAAACAACAAACTAACACTCACAACAAAGAGGTTCAGCCTGACTTCTGAGTCGACTCAAAAGTCACCGCGGAAATAAAGCCACAACAAAGAGGTTCAGCCTGCCACCCATTAGGCCACAACAAACAACAAACTAACAGTCATTCATAACATGCAATACCCGTAACGAGCAACACCTCTCCGCACCCCTTCCCCCGTGCAAACTACAGGAGGTGAGGCGGGTGCAGCAGGCGCATGCAGACTCGCTCAAGGGCAAGATCAAGCTCACCCCCTCTACACTCTCCCACTGCCCCTACCCTGCCTCACGCTCCTACCCTGCTGTCTTACTCCCCTTGCCCACATGCAACCCCCAGGAGGTGCGGCGGGTGCAGCCTCGTGCAAGAAGACAGTGACATTATCAAGAGAGGGGGGGGAGACTGAAGGGCAAGGTCAAGCTCACAAGTCCCTGACACTCTCCCACTGCCCCCGCCCTGTCTCACGCCTCTGTCTCCCCGTGCAAGCCCCAGGAGGTGCGGCGGGTGCAGAGCGCACATGCAGACAGTGACATCATCAAGCGGGGCAGGCGCAAGGGCAAGATCAAGCTCACACTCCCTGTCACCACTGTCCCCTCCCTGCCTCGCGCCTCTTCCCTGTCGCACTCCCGTATCTTGCGTGCAATCCTTAGGAGGTGCGGCGGGTGCAACACGTGCATGCAGACAGTGACATCATCAAGCGGGGCAGGCTCAAGGGCAAGATCAAGCTCACGCGGGCTTTTGGAGCGGCCTATCTAAAGGACGTGAGTGCTGTCTGCTCTCTTCTCTCTGCTTTTGCAAGGAAGGAGGATTAAGGGCCTACCCTGCCCTCCCAGGCCCTGCCCTGCCATGCCCTGCCCTGCCCTGCCCTTTTCTCCCTGCCCTGTTCTACCCTTCTCTAGTCTGTACCCTGCCACATCACCCCACCCACCCCCTCCCCTCTTCTCTCACCTCCCAATCACCCCCCTCCGCGCAGCAAACAATCAGCGATACCCTGCTAGGCAAGTTCCGAGCCAATTCTTGATTGAGGCACCTATTATGGCCTCTCACTTCCCTCCACCCGCTCCCTCCCAACCCCTCTCCAACACCCCAATCCAATCCTCCCCCACCACAGCAAGCAATCAACGATACCCTGCTAGGTGTAATGAGTCGACTCAAAACTCGGCATGTTCCGAGCCAATTCTTGATTGAGGCACCTATTATGGCCTTGCTGTTTGGTTGCTGTGAATCCGTTTATTCCCAACCCCTCCCCCACCCCGCAACCCAATCATCACCCTCCGCGCAGCAAGCAATCAACGATACCCTGCTAGGCATGTTCCGAGTCAAGTACCAAGCCTCAACTTCAGCTTCGGAACCATACCTCTCCTCCTCGCCGCACCTCCGCCACGTGCGAATCTCACCGTCGGATCGGCTCCTCATCCTCTCATCCGACGGTCTGTATCAGCACATGCAAACCAAGGACGTCCCCAACTGCCTCGGCCCCACACTAGCGAGTCTCTTGCCTCAGCCAGCCGCAACAGGTTCGGCACATGGAGGTTCGGGGAATTTAGGTTCGGCACATGGAGGTTCGGGAATTCGTAGGCTGTCCAGAGGGCTCTCTTTGGGAGGGAGCTTTCGGATTGGCAGCAAGAAGTGGATCGGGGCAGGGGTGGGAGAAGAGACAGGACGTGGGGCAGGTGGAGCAGGAGCAGCAGGAGGAGCAGAGACAGCATTGGCAGCAGGAGCAGCAGGAGCAGCAAGAGTAACAGGGGCAGCAGGGGCAGGGGCAGGTGCAGCAGCAGCAGCAGCACGAGCAGGGGCAGGGGCAGTAGCGGCTGTGGCAGGGGCAGCGACAGGGGCAGGAATGGAAACAGCAGTAACAGGCAGGCATATCACAAGCAGCTGCAACGACAACACTGCAGAGGGCCTGGCGAAAGAAGCTCCTAAGGTGGCTACTGAGAGCTCTCAAAAACCGCCTGCGGTAACTCAAAGCACGAGCAGTAACAACAACGACAACATTGCAGAGGGGTTGGTGAGAGCAGCGCTAGAGAGAGCTGCAGAGCACACAGGCACCCACCCCTCCGCCCTCTCCTCTCTCCCTCTCGGTACCCAACGCGTTGTCACGAGCAATGGCACTGACAGCAGCAGCAACATTGCAGAGGGGTTGGTGAAGGAAGCGCTAGAGAGAGCTGCAGAGCACACAGGCACCCACCCCTCCGCCCTCTCCTCTCTCCCCCTGGGCGCCCAGCGCAGGAAGATTCACGACGATATCTCGGTGATTGTGCTTGAGATTCAGCCACCCCCTTCACAGTCACACCCTGTACAGTCGCACCCGTTAGAGTCACGCAACTCGTTGCCACGCCCTTTACAGTCACACACGCATTCGCTGCTCCATCCTGGTCTTCCCACAAACACCACCACCACCATCAGCAGCACCGGCAGCAGCAGCAGCAGGACCAGCAGCCATGCTTTGACCAGAATGCTCCGGCGCACACACTCTGCTGCTGCCCCGCCTCTCCCCCGCCGCTCTGTCAGCAACAGTGGGTCGGCGGAGAGCACTCAGCAGCCGCAGCAGCCACGCTTTGACCAGAATGTGCCAGCACTCGCTGTCCCACCCCCCCCCTGGGCGCTCTGTGAGCAGCAGCGGATCGGCTGAGAGCACTCAACTGTCGCGAATTGACACTGGAGTAGAGATGTGAGCACCTAGCAATTCTTTTAGGCGCCTCAGAATATGGTTGAGGATTTTTTTAGGAACCACACATATTGCCGGGTACCTCCAGAGTTGACAGTGGAGTAGAGATGTGAGCGAGCAGGCACCTAGCAGTCTCGCATTGACTGACTGACCGTGAGCTGCACTTTGGGACACACACACGGACTGACAGCATCCCATCCCGCTTCCCCATCTTATTTTTGAGGCGCCTCAAGCGCAGTCTCGAATTGAGTGAGCGTGTGTTACGCTGTGGAGGCACGGGCTGACAGCATTCTACTGCCCCACTCATGCCATGCTGCCTCCCCCGTTGCTCTGTCAGCAGCACTGCCGCAGCCGAGAGTACTCAACAGTCTCGAACTGAGCGAGCGTGAGAGGTACTTCAGATATTGTTGCTGCAGTTCTCTACAGATTCATATTATTATTGTCGTTGCTGGTAGAAGTTTGCAACTGCGGATGCTGTCAAAACGGCAGCTTAAAACAGCCGCAGCACCTACCTACCACAGCGGCATCATTTCAAAGATCAGTCAACCAATGGAAGAGCGGCAGATGGGACAGGGCTGTTTCCTGGAAACGAGGCAGAGGAGGCAGGAGGAGCAGACAACAGCATGGCAAACCTAATCCTTAAATCCGAAACCCCCACCCCTGCTGCTATTGCCGCCGCCGCCGCCGCCGCCGTTGCCGCCGCTGCTGCTCCTGCTATTGGCAAATGGAACTAATCAGATGATGGAAGAGCGGCAGATGGGGCAGGGCTGTTTCCTGGAAACGAGGCAGAGGAGGCAGGAGGGGCAAACAACAGCATGGCCGCATGGGTCAATGGGGGGGCACTCCGCCTCCTCACAGCAGATCACACAAGATGTGGTACCTGCAGCCTTGCTTGCCCCACCCCTGCTGCTACTGCTGCCACTGCTGCTGCTGTTGCTCCGCTCCTCACCTGCTAGACTCTCATTCCTACTCCCACTGGAACCAGGATCGCTGCTCCTTTCCCCAGTCCCAGCACACCCTTCAACAGCCCTAGCAAGCCCATCATCAGCACCACAGGGTCCTTCCCTGCAAGGCTTGCCAGGAGGTGTGCCTCTGCCAGGAGCGGTAGGGAGCTTGGTCACTGGCACACCCAAGTAGCCCAGGGCAAGGCGAGCAAACTCCGCTGCTTTCACCCGCACTCGCTCCTCCTCTTCTTCCCTCTCCTGCTCCAACTTCTTCCCCCTCTTCTTTTCCCACTGGGTTCTTTTCTGCTCCTCCCTCTGCTCCTCCTGCTTTTCTCTCTCCACCCCACCAGGCCCAACCTCCTCTACCGTCCGCACCGTAACCCCCAAAGCCCCCTCAGACAAGGCCATAGCTTCATGCTCGGCTGTTGCTCCATCCTCGGCCATAGCTCCATGCTCGGCTGTTGCTGCATCCTCGGCTGTTGCTGCATGCTCGGCCGTTGCTCCATCCTCCTCCCTCTTCTGAGGCGCCTCAAACGCAGCCATTTCCATCAGAATCCCCACGGCCCCCTCTAAAAAGAACATAGCTCCGTGCTCCTCCCTCCCGCCCTTGCTCTTGCACACTGCAGCAGCCAGAAGCGCTCCCAGCCCTCGAATCGGCCACCGTGGCAGCGCAGCAGCCGTACGATCGGAGAGACAGTGGTCCAGATGAGGTGCAGGGGTAGGGAGGAAGGGTGGGAGGCGAGGAGGAAGGAGGAGATGGAAGGTTGTGTGGGGGAGGAGAGGAGGAGGCGCTGTGCTTGTGTGAGGGAAGAAGAAGAGGCGGCCCTGTCTTGCTCGCCCACATTTTGGTAGTTTTCAGAAGTCTTGCCCACAGAGGCAAGTGTTGCATCTGTCGCATCAGAATGACAAGTGTTGGCCAGGGCACGTTTGTTGCCTTCCAACGTGCCTTGAGAACCTTCCAGGAGCAGGCAGAGATTGGCGAGAGTTAAGCATGCATACAGCCGGGCCTCTTCTCGGTTCCCCTCCTCCTCTTCCTCCTCTTCCTCTTCTTCTTCCTCCTCTGATTCTTCCCCCTCGATCCCTTCCTCTTCCCCTTCCTCGAATTCCTCTTCCATTTCCACCTCTTCTTCCTCCTCGTCCCTCCTGGGAGACTCTCTTTCACTCTCACCCACTCCTTCTCGCCCTCCTTGCTCTCTACTCCATCTTCTCCCCACCTCCCCCCCATCTCCTTTCCCTCCCTCTCCTAGAGAACCTTGTTCTCTACCATCAATTTCACCCTCCTCTCTCGCTTCCCCTCCTCCACCTCCTTCCCCATCTCGGCCCACATGCCCTCTCTCCACCCCTCTCCCTCCTTCCACCATCTCATGCCCTCCCCTCTCCCCCACTCCTTGGTCAACTTCATTCTGCTGGAGCAACGCACACTCACTGCAGTTGACCTGCGTTGACTGGCACTGACTGCAAGTCTGGCACTCAATACAGTTGACCTGCGTTGACTGGCCCTGACTGCAGTTGACCTGCGTTGACTGGGGCACCGACTGATCAAGGAGGCTCAGGAGGGGCGGCAGGCATCTGTAGCGCACGACCAGAGCGGGTCCTAGGCTCTGATTGGCTGAAATCTGTTACAATGCCCCCGCTGCTGCATACTGTGTGTGTGTGGGAAAGAGGGAGGACAGAGAGTGGGAGGAGAGAGAACGGAGGGGAGAGAGAATAGGTGGGAGAGAGAAAGAGGGGAGCGAGAATGGGGGCCACAGTAGTTGTGAACAAAGATAAACGGACAGAGTAAAACGGGACAGAGGCAAGGAGGAGAGAGGGAGGGAGGACAAATAGAGTAGAGGTGCTGTGGAAAATAGAGCAGGGGTTTGAGGTCGGGGGTGTGTGGGGGAGGCTTGGGGCGAAGGAACGAGGGGCGGGAAGGGAAGAACGGGGGGGAAAGAGGCCGGACGGTGAGAGTGAGAGTACCTGCACCGACGGCCGATGGTAACAAAGCAGGGCGAGCAGCAACGGCAGCAGGCCTGCTGACTCAGCACGACGGCAATTCGAATCAACCTGAGAGAGAGTGTGAGGAGGACGGGAGCGAGAAAGGGGAAAAAGGAAAGAGATGAACCCTCCAGTTTTGAAACTGGAAACATGGAATCAGGGAGTTTGTTCTTCCGACACGTCCTTACAAAGTAGCAGATGCTCCAAATAGCGAGGCATGGGTGCTTCAGCGGAATAGCTTCTGAGCCGACTCAAAAGAAGCGCGTGAGTTGAATTATCACTGGAAATGATCTTACAGAGTAACAGATGCTCCACATAGCGAGGCACGAGTGTTTCACTGCCAGCACATCGCCTTCCCCATCAACCCTGATGGAACTAACGGCATTATGGGATATGTATTTATCATAACTCTCTTACCGAGTAACAGATGCTCCACACGGCGAGGCAGGAGTGTTTCAACGCCAGCACATCGCCTTCCCGCCTCAATTCCTCTCGCCTTGTAATTCCTGACCTCGACTCGTCCCGCCTCAAACCTTCCCGCCTCGAGCCTCCCCCCCTTGAATCGTCTCTCCTGGTGTCGTTGCCTTTCACGGCTCGGCACTCTCGACTATGCGCACGATGGTTCTTGCCGTGATGCATGAGGTGCCAGTGATGGTGCAGGATCCGAGCGAGCAGCTCCAAAGCGCCTTCCTCCCCAAGCTGCTCTGCATATAGTCACACCACAGTCACACCACAGTCACGCGATGATGGTTGCAGCAACAAGTGTGGGCCTTCAAATGGGGATTGCGGGGATGAGTGGGGTGCCAGTGGTGGTGCAGGATCCGAGTGAGCAGGTCCAGTGCACATTCCTCCCCAAGCTGCTCTGCAGAGATACAGTCACACACACCATACCACAGTCACATCATGAGCACACATGCCAACCCCCACAGAAAAATTGCTGCTTTGACATGCTGTGACTGCTGCTTGCACTATCAGCACCACCATCTCCAACCCATCTTAACCTTACTGACACCATCTCAACCCATTTGCACCGCTCTCCACCCACCTTTCGCTTGTTCGCTGGGTGGGCGCATGCCAGACCCCACAGGCAGCTGGCTACAGTGGCATGCAGCGACTGCTGCTTGCACGCCCTGCAGCCACAATCCCCTTCACTCAATGCAACCCAGCTTCACCAGACTCACACATCTCAGCCTCATTGCACCGCTCTCCACCCACCTTGCGTTTGTTTCCCGGGTGGGCACACGCCAGCCCCCAGAGGCAGCTGGCTACAGTGGCATGCAGCGACTGCTGCTTGCACGCCCTGCAGCCACAATCCCCTTCTCTCAATCCAACCCCCTGCTCCCGCTGCTCCCGCTGCTGCTGCTGTTTCTGCTGCTGCTGTTCCGTCGCCCGCGTTTGCTCCTCCATCCTTGCTCCTTGCCCCTTCCCAGCACCTTCAGGAGCAGCAGCTGGGTCAGTCCCAGCTGATAAGCAGCGACTTGAGTGTCTGCGGGGGGAGCAGAGAGGATTTGCAAGGCAGTGTGTGAGCGAGTGTGTGAGCACAGGCAGAATGCCTTGCGTAGTGACAAGAACAGCTAAGGTAGGAAAGGAGCGACAGCAGCACGCAAAATCGGAGGAAGGGGAGGGGGATTGGGAGAAGGCGGATTTGGGAGGAGGGTGGGGTGGACTGACATATTCCGAGTGGGTTGTGGGACTTGGCGGTTGGGTGGGAAGGTGGACTGACATATTCCGAGTGCGAGAAACGGCTCAACGCGCGAAGCGCCTGATTTCTGACATGTGGCTTTGCTGACGTGGCGGCTTCCAATAGGCCGTCGAGAATCCCCGCCTCGTCCAACGCGTGTGCGAGCTCCATGTTGCCCGGCTTCCACGTAACGTCTGATATATATATAGTCTTGAAGACTATTCCACACCACCAGAAAGATCAGCGAGACCAAAATTAGGGAGTTACTGAATATAGTTCGAAGACGTGGTATGTAACCCGGAGCCGATTCGTGAAAGTGAGGAACTCCTGCATCCGTCCTAGAAATTCCGTGGAGTCCTAGTCTTTTTCACTGAGGGAAATCCGCTTTGGTGATGAGACCACAAATGGGCATTGATGGATCGCCACATACTCGTTACAAAGTGGAAAATAACGGTTTTTCATCACGCTCATCAAGACAATAGCTCTCAACAGATGTTATTATCAACTATTGTTGTAGAAAAATCACAATGTAACAGACACAAACAGCTGTGGTAAAAAATATGACAGAAAAAAAAAGTATCATAATAGCTTGCTTGATTATCAATTTTCTATGCCATTTTCTCTCAAACCTCCTAATCGTGCGCACACTCACCGTCACCAACACGCTTCTTCCTTCTCCCTTGCCCCACATCTTCGTCTTGATCACTCAGCTGTTGGTTCCTGTGCAACTCCATGTTTATCTCATTCCCCTCACTATCCTCCCCTCTCTCCCTGCTCTCTCCTTGCAACTGCATTATCCTTCTTCTCTCCGTCAGTTGAATCCCCCACTCCCGCTGAGGCTGCTCCAACTCCGCCTCTACCCCCTGCCCCTCCCTTGGGTTCTTCCCAGTCCCGGCTTGGTTAGACAATGCCCCTCTCAAATACACATTGCCGAAAGACCATATGCTCAAAGGGCCCACTCTATGGCCTTGCCTCAGAAAACGTTCCGAATCTTCGTGCGCAGAGTTTTCTGAAGGCTCAATGCCAAGGTATGTTGCCAGGCTTGCACTGGGGCTTTGCTGGTTCCATGCCTGAGACAAAGGTCCGGCCGGGCCGGCTGCGTTTCTGGCCGGATCCCATTGACTCACACCCCTCTCTGAACCCATTCGTACCGGTGAAAACCGGCCACGATCGGCAGCAGCAGCACCTACTCCAAACCTTACACCAGAGCTGACACTGTATCCTGCTCTTGAAGCCGTTCCTGCTGCAGCACCAGCACTAGCAGCACCTAAACCATGACTCACACCAGAACTGACACTGTATCCTGCTCCGGATGCCGTTCCTGCTGCAGCACCAGCGTTAAACCCAGAAACGGCAGCAAATGCAGGTCCGGTTGCCAAACCAGGGCTGCCAGCTGCCAAACCGGATCTGGCAGCTGCCAAACCAGCTTCAAATGCCGAGCCTAATCTGGCAACCTCCGGGTTCATATCTCGGTGCCTCCCACTATCCTTGGCTTGAGGGGTCTGAATACCAGCACCCATACCTGGCACAGAAGCATCGGCCGAAGCAGTATCCACTCTGCCTGTTCTTTCCCAACTGGTTGCTCCCGGGTACGACCCTGCTTTGTTCCCAACCCGTCTGAAATGCATAAAAGCTGCGCTGCGACTGAGGGGGGAAGCAGCGTCGGCAGCAGCAGGAGCAGTAGCAGGGAGGCTAGGAAAGGCCATAGCGTCATGGCTGAAGCTGAGAAATGATTGCATACGTGCAGCATCAGCACCACCAGGACCAGTACCAGCAGCACCACCAGCAGCACCAGAAACACATACAGCAGGGCCACCACCAGGGTCAACAGCGGCAGCAAAACCACCAGCAGCACGTGCAGCATCAGCTGAAGCAGGAGCAGGCGCACTGGAAATGCCGATAGCGTCCTGGCTGAAACTGAACGGTGGGTTTAAGCACATACGTGAAGCTGCAGCGCCACCAGCACCACCCGCACCAGCAGGAGCAGAGGCAGTGGTAACTGGTAACTGGAACCGGGTCCCAGGGAGTTGCATCCGCGCGAAGATTGACTGTGCTTCCGGCACTGACTGAGCTGCACTCAGCAATCGTGCAGCAGTGATCGAGCGCGCTGCGGTGAGGGGATACGTTGACGGTGCTGCAGGCAGTGGCTGGGCTGCCGGACGCGACCGCGTTGACTGTGCTGCAGGCACCGAGTCTGTTGGAGGCAGCGTGAGAACACCGGGTGAACCGTCCTGTTCGACAGGAGTCCGATGCAGCACGGTTGTCTGGGGACTGGTTTCTGCCTCGCGGTCTGTTGAACGGGTGCAAGGAGTTGGGGAGAGAGAGTGAGTGTGTAAGCGAGAGGTGCAAGGATGCTTTATTGCACAGCGATAGGTACAATGCCACGCACGTGTGAGAGGAATGCAGGCACGCACTTGCTTGTTCACAAGGACTGACTATTTTCAGACGACTCTGAAAATCTTCCTATGCCAACTTCTTACATGCAGATTTATAACTTCAAACATCAGAAGGAGCCTCAACTCGCATTCTGTTTTTCTCACCTCGCCTTTTCTTCTCAAATCACCTGTGGCCGATCATGTGGTCTCCCAGCGCCTGCGGCTGTGCGAGTTGATTTTTGAGTAAACTCAACGATCAGATTTGTCAACCGAGCCGGCTGGGCGAATCTCTTGCCGCAGAACCGGCACGCATACAGCAGCACCTCTTCACACCCCGTTGAACCCCTCCCCAGTTCCAGCATCATCCAGGACACAGAAGAGGCTCTCGGTGCTCCCAATGGTGCAGACACTTCTGCCTGACGTCCATCCTGCTGCTGTTGCTGCCGCTGCTGCTGCTGCTCCCCCTCCTCTGGCTTCTGCTGCAGTGGCGGCGGCTCCAGCTCCTGCCGCTGCTTCTGGTGCTGCAGCATTGCCATTGCCATAGAATCAGCAAGAGAAGAGGTAGAAGCTGCAGAAGCAGACGAGGAAGAAGAATCAGGGGAAGCAGAAGGAACAGAGCGGGAGGCAAAAGGGGAAAGCCTGGCATAACCAGAAGCAGCAGCAGTAGCCGCAGCAGCAGATAAATTCTCCTCGTACGGATGATGCCTCTGCTGCTTCCTCCTCACATTTACTGGGGAAACTGCAGGTGCTCTGAAACCACCTACTGTCACATCCTCTGCCGCCATATCTCCTATAGTCACACCCTCTGCTGCCGTCGGTCCTTGTTTCCCATCAGACAAAACCATCCATGCATCAACTGCCCTGCCATGGGTTGTGCTACGGGTCATCCCAAAACGGGTGCCATAAACTGCATTAATGACGGTGCCATGCTGGTCCCCTGCTGGCCGCCTGGCAGTAGCAGAGTTGGCTGGAGCGTGGACAGCACGTGGTGCAACCGTGAGAGGGATCTGAGTAGAGGGGAAGGGGGGGAGTGGAGATGTGGGAGCGACTGCCCGTGAGGGCTGAGGAGATGATCCGTGAGCACGTGACGGATTGGGGGGCGTGGAGTATGAGACGGCCCTACGCTGTTGCAGGGCAGTGGCAGGACGACCACCACCAGCAGAAGCAGATCCGTGCTGCAGGGTCATGAGCTCGTGGTGGTGACTTGATGGGAGCGGGGTCAGCCCTGCACCATCAGCAGCAGCAGCAGCAGCAGCAGCAGCTCCATCAGCAGCAGCAGCAGCAGCAGCAGCTCCATCAGCAGTGTATGATTGTGTGAGAATGCGGTGCATGTTGATCCATGACGGATCCACCATGGCAATGCTCGAAAGCATTATGTCCCGGTCTTGGTCCAGCAATGCTTGGTCAAGCATGCCTTGATCCACCAACGCTTGATTCAGCAATGCTTGGTCTAGCATGGCTTGATCCGGGAATGCCTGATTCAGCATGCCTTGATGCGGCCTCCCGCTAGCAATGCTTGGTCCAGAGACACCAATGCCTGATCGCCCGATAGAGACTCAACCAATGCCTCATCACGGCATTGAGCTACATCTGGGATCTCTTCCAGTCAACTGCTGAAATCACCTAATCTTCTTGATCTGCCAATGCTGATTGGTAGCTTGCAGATCCACAGGAGTCCGATCCTCCAAACCCAATGCGGATCCCTTCCGTGAGAGCCGCTGAAACCTCTGAATGGGAGCTGCTTGGTGGCCGTTTGCTGGTGTCTGGGTCATCTGTACTCCACTTGAAGTACGATGCATCTCAGCCGTCCATGCCCCGTCTCAAACCTCCCTGGGCCATTGTCGAACATCCGTTTTAGCTTTCCGTCTCAGCTCTTCCTCTTGGAAGGAAGCAGGACGACGATGAGCATCAGAAGATAACTTATCGCTGGAAGGATCATGAGAAGACCTCCTTATTGGAAACTGAATCTCTGAGAGTCAGGACAGTACAAGTTCTGAGAACGTGTGAAGAAGAATGAAGTAGCTAAGGAGGCTCAGACATATGATTCAGGCTGGAATATCATCAATGGATGTCGAACACTCGTCTCCAAGGAGAAAGATCATGCCACAAGAGAAAGAATGATTGAGATTTTAGTAGTATCACCACAGGCTGTTGTAAGGGACCGCCTCGACCAACCGCCTCAACCACACCTCAATCACCTCTACTCCTCGACCACCTGATCAGTGCGACAGATATGAAGCCGGGAGCTATAGCTGCCGCGCGTCTTGCACCCATTGGAAGTTACAGTAACGAGCCTACCAGCACCACTGGGGGCACGACTTTTACTTGATCGAGCACCGCTCATAGCTCATAAAGAATTTTAATAGGAAGAAAGGGAAGAGAGGGAAACAAACAAACAAGCAACAAGACAAAGCCAAAACAGTGGTAGCTACCATAGATGGACCCCATACGCGCAACCCAGGCGTGTAAGTGTCACCAAACGTGGTCGTATGACCAATATGACACACATGTGCACTTGGATTTGGAACAAGCGGCGGAATGCAACAGGTGTGGGCGTGAGCTCATGTCGTCGGGCGCAAGGACAGGGGGAGGCTGAAGGCAAGGCGGGTTGAGCAAAGTGCCTAAACCCTGGGGGACAGAGAAAGGGCACGGGGGGAGAGTGAAGGCATGACACCTCATGAGCTCGAGCAAAGTGGAGTGTGCAAACGATCGAGAGGGGTGTAAGGGCAGCGCATGCAACGGAAAGGTGGAGCACGGCGTGTGATCAAGGGACAGTGGGAGTAAGGTACTTGCATGATCTAGGGACAGATGGAGCAAGGTGGGTGCGCGAGCAAGGGAAAGAGGGATAAGAAGGGTGAGAGGCAGGGAGGGAAAGGGGATAAGAAGGGTGAGAGGCAGGGAGGGAAAGGGGATAAGAAGGGTGAGAGGCAGGGAGGGAAAGGGGATAAGAAGGGTGAGAGGCAGGGAGGGAAAGGGGATAAGAAGGGTGAGAGGCAGGGAGGGGAAAGGGGGAAGCAGGGTGCAAGGCACCGAGGTTGGAAACGTGGAAGAAGGTGGTAATGCAGAGTGAGGAAAGGAAGAAGAAGGGTGCGAGGCAGGTAGGGGAATGGGGGAAGCAGGGCGTTAGGCAGAGAACTCATGGTGCAATGAGAAAAGTGTAAGGAGAGTGGGAGAAGGGAGACGCAGGGCATAAGGAAGAGAGGGGAAAGGGGGAAGAAGGGTGTAGGGAAGAGAGGGGAAAGGGGGAAGCAGCTTGTAAGGCACCGAGGGTGGAAAGGAGGTAGAAGGGGGTATGGCAGAGTGGAGAATGGGGGAAAAAAGGTGTAAGACAGAGAACTCATGGTGGGGGAATAAAGGTGTAAGGATGTGAGGGAATGGGGCGAGGATGGGCTAAAGGCAGAGAGGGGAAAGGGGTTTTGTAGGGTGTACGGAAGAGAGGAAAATGGGAGAAGCACGGTGTAAGGCACTGAACGCTTGGTGGGGCAAGTAGAGTGTAAGGAGAGAGGGGAAAGGGGGAAGAAGGGAGTAAGGCAGAGAGGGGAGATGGGAAAGAAGAGTGTACGGAAGAGAGGGGAAAGGGGGAAGAAGAGTGTAAGGCAGTGAGGGGATAGGTGGAAGAAGAGGGTAAGGCAGAGAGGAAAGAGGGAGAAGGAGGGTGTAAGGCGGAGAGGGGGGAACGGGGTGCAGGGCCGAGAAAAGGGATAAAGGGGACCAACGGTGCATTTTCGGGTGGTCAAAGGTTGCGTTCAGCGCGGAAGGGAGATGCGTACAGAGGGCGCGTTATGGGGGCGGAGTCAAGGAGAGTCAGGGGTATAGCAGAGGGGAGGAAGGGGGAGAAAGAGAAATAGCCGATGGCGGTATGGCAGAGAAAGGGGCATAGCCGGGGGGAGTAAGGGACAAATTGGGGTTGCGCCGAGGGGAGGATGGGTGGTAAATGGGTATAGCCGGGGGGAGTACGAGAGATAAAGGGGTGTAGCAGAGGGTAGTAAGAGGGAGAAAGGGGGATAGCCGGGCGGAGCAAGGGAGAGAAAGGGGTATAGCCATGGGGAATATGGGACAGCAAGGGGTATACGTGAGGGGAGCAGTGAAGAGCGTGGGGTATAGCCGAGGGGAGTAAGGGACCGAAAGCAGTGTAGCAGAGTGGAATGAGGTAGATGGGGGGCTATTTGAGAGGGGAGTAAGGGAAGAAGGCGAAGAATGGGTGTAAGGCAGATAGGGGAGTGGGGGAAGAAGGGTGGGGGGAAATGAGGGAAAGGGGGCAGCTAAAATACGGCAGAGTGGTCTAAGGGGGAAGAAGGGCGCAAGGCAGAGAGGGGAAAGTCGGAAGATGGGTGTAAGGGAGAGTGGGGAAGGGGAGAAGACGGTTGAAAAGCAGAGTGGGGAAGGGGAGAAGACGGGTGAAAGGCAGAGTGGGGAAGGGGGAGAAAGAAAACAAGGGAGATAAGGAAAAGGTGGAAGAAGGGGAGTAAGGCAGATTGGCGTTAGGGGGAAAACGGGCGTAAGGCAGAGAGGGGGAAGGGGGAAGAAGAGCGTATGGAAGAGGGGAAAAAGGGGGAAGACGGGAAGCAGTAGCTGCTTGCTACCGTCCGCCCTTCGTGCGGGGAAGCAGTCCAGAAAAGGAGGGGAAGCAGGGGGGAGAGGGAGTTTAGGGTTGCAAAGGGGGAATGGAAGGGGGCTGCTGCTACCAAATCAGCACAGAGGGGAATGCACGTGGGTGACGGAGTGGAGTGAGCGTGGGCGACTTCATGGAGGGAGCGTGTGTGACCGAGGGAAAGCGTCGCGTGCCCGACGGGAGGGGAGTGAGCGTGGGGGTGAAACAGGGGAGTGCGCGTGGGCGGACGAGGGGAGTGTACGTGGGCGAAAGAGGGAGTGCGCGGGCGCGGACGCGGGGAGTGTTCGTGGGCGAAAGAGGGGAGCACGCGGGGGCGGACGAGGGGAGGGCGAAAGAGGGGAGCGCGCGGGGGCGGACCAGTTATGTATGCGTGGGCGAAAGAGGGGAGTGCGCGTGGGCGGACGAGGGGAGTGTGCGTGGGCGATGGGAGGGAGTGCGCGATGGCGACGTCGACACGGAAACGCGTGCGATGGGGGGCAGTGCAAGAGATATTGTACGATTTCGCTGCACGTTAGGCTTCTCGTTGTGAGCGCGGACGTCCCTTAGCCTGGATGGTGAAGTCGCGCCCTCTGCGTGCGCCGTCGCGGATAAGGGCGCGCTAAATGCGGATCGCGATGTACAACCACAAAAAGCGTCGAGTGACTGCAAACAACACTGAACCCTGGTCGAGCGAAATGAAGACGATGGGCGGGTGTGGCTGCGAGACGGTTAGACTAGCTAATCTGTGCTCTTCTTGCTGTTTTGGGTCGCGTCATTTATGGCCAAGTGATAACATCGTGTGTGAGGGACACTGTCTGCTGGTCAACTCGTTTTGGTTCACAAACTGCTTTGCATAACTCAAGTTCCCAACTCCCAGCAGGGGCGTCGCAGCTGACGACGGGGGAGAGATACCCCGCGCAAGTCCGCCAAGACTGAACTTTGTTTCTCGTCGGGCTCCCAAGCACAAACAGGGTAACCACTCAAGGCAAGTGATAAACCTTTGGGTCCACCCCCCCCAAAGTGCACCCTTGCTTTAATATTTTTCCCTTTTTTCCAGACTCCTCCATTTCGGACTTTTCAAGACGTAACTCTTCCACTAAACGATGGCACCAAAAATTCGCGGGTGGGGACTTTCAATCTTCCGGCTCATTTCTTTCCACGCTAGGAGTAACCAAGCACGTCCCATTGCTACCTTACTGCATGCTCAGTGGGGATTTGTGTAGGGCCTATCAACAACGTGTGACAGACTACACAAGTCAGTGCTTGGTCGTCAAATCAGCACGGACAGTGGCCTGGTCGTAGTGAGCACCCGAAAATATTCTATGTTTCCGGGAAAAGTACAGGGTATCCTGGGTCTGCAAAGTAGGGCGACCATGAGAAGAGCTGAATGATTGGCTAGCAAACGTTGGTGGAGAAATTCATCCATTCCCAACCGTTGCTTCATCTTTCCAGGAGCATTCACACTACAGTACACTGTACCCTAGCAGACGTACTGTGTACACAAGCAGACTGTTGGCTGTACTGTACTGGATTCGGGTGGGTTTGTGGTCGGCAGTTACCCTACAGCAGACGTCGGTTCGGGAATGGTTCTCCTCGTCGGGAAAGCTGCCACGGCTTCGCTACAGTGGTGATATTGTCAGTGAAAATACTTGGGTGTTCTGTTGAAATCACTTCTTGCCTCTAGGGTGTACGCGGATCCAAACTTCTGTGCCCAGAGAAGGTACTGTGGGAATCGACACCCTGAACTGGAGGTCCTCCTGCCAG